AGGTAGGCGCGGCCCTCTGGCCGCGGGGGGCGGGGGCGGCCGGGGCCCCCGGGCGGCGGCGGGCGCGGGGCGCGCTCGCCTCCCGCCGCCTCGCCTCGCCTCGCCTCGCCTCCCCTCCGCTCTCCTCGCGCAGGGAGATCCTGCAGGAGATCCAGCGCCTGCGCCTGGAGCACGAGCAGGCCTCCCAGCCCACGCCGGAGAAGGCGCAGCAGAACCCGACGCTGCTGGCCGAGCTGCGCCTGCTGCGGTAAGCGGGCGGCGGGGCGCGCGTCCCCTGGCGGGGCGGCGGCGGGCTTCTCCCCGCGCCGCCGCCTCCCGGGGCCCGGGGCCTCCTCTGCGGCGGCACCGGTGGCAGCGCGGCCCTCTCTGTTGCGCCCGAGCAGGCAGCGGAAGGACGAGCTGGAGCAGCGGATGTCGGCGCTGCAGGAGAGCCGGCGGGAGCTGATGGTGCAGCTGGAGGGGCTCATGAAGCTGCTCAAGGTAGGCGCCACCGCCCCTCCCGCGGGGCCGTGCAGGGGCCTGGGGCGCCCCCGGGGCCCGGCCCAGCTGCCTGCCCCGAGCCGGGCCCGCCTTGCTTAGGCCGGGGTGAGACCCCCGCCAGCCCCCGGCCTGCCCCTCCGCTCCGCCCCGTCTCCTGGGGAAGCGCCTTTGAGCGAGCGCCTTTGAAACCGGCAGTGGGGCGCCCGTGAGCACAGGACCACGGGTCGCCTCCGTCGGGGCACCGTTTTTGCGTCCAGACTGTCCGCCACTGCGGCCCCTTCAGCCGGCCCTGGGCTCTGTGGCAGCAGAGGGCAGCCCCGGCCCCCTTGCCTGCTGCCCCCAGGGGCATGGCCAGCCGTGCGGACAGCTGTGCGGACAGAGGGGCTTTTCCGTCGCGGAACTGCCTGCCACGTGGGTGCAATTTCCAGGGAACTGCAGCTGCAGAGGGAAGCATTTGCCCCCACAGGCGCTGCGACCGCCCCCAGCACTGGGTGCCCCCCCCCCCCAGCCACGGCCATCTTTGCGTCGTTTCATACCGCTGCAAATGAATCGCAATCGAAGAACTCCTGGTTTGGGATGATCTGGGAAAGGGTGCAAGTTAATTGAGCAAATTTTATCTGGCAGAATTTGGATTAGGTATTGATCAGCTGGTTTTTCCTCCTGTGATGTTGGAATAAATCCCGCCATGCATTCCAGATATGCACATGTAGATATTCGTGGGCATTTGGTGCAGATCGGTGGCCCGCGGGCCCTCGTCTTTTTGGCGCCCTGAGACGGCCGTGCAGGTCTTTGCCAAGCGCTCCGCCAGCCGGGGGCCCCACGGACTCGGGGGCCCCACTGTGCGCTAGCAGGAATGCCAGTCCCCTCCAGAGGGCACCCCGTGGAAAGCCACGCCTCTGACCAGCCTGGAAGCCACGGTGCTTGCGGAGCGGGGCCTCCTCCGCGTACCCCGTCCAGGGCGCAGCTGGCGCAGGACACGAACGAGGGCGAGGCCCGTCCTGCCTGCGGCTGCCCCAGTGCTTCCAGAGACGGGCTGGGCCCCAGAGGACCTCCGGCCGTGAGCTCCCTGGTGTGGGCTCCATCCAGGCCCGTCCCTCTCTCGGGGGTTTGCTGTTCTCCTCCGCCCATCCAAGCCTCCCCAGGACCCGCCCCCACTGTGGGGACTGTGCCGCCGAGAGGCCCCCCTCCAGCCAGGCCGCCGTGTCAGTTTTGAGCAACAGGAGGAGCAAGGTGGCATTTCGGGGCCCTCCGCAGAGCCGCGGAGAAGCTGCCGAGCACACCTCCCGAGACAACTGGCCCGATTAGCACGGAGCCTGCTGGAAATTTAAACCCAGCCCGGCCAGGAGACCCAGCAGCTTGCCAGGGTTGGTGGTAACCGAGCTGCTGGGGCCTGCAGGAGAGGCTTCCCTGCCTGTTGCCAGTCCTCCGACAAGGTAACCGAGGCCTGTTCTCTCCGAGGCACCCAGACCGAAGCAGTCGGCCTCCTCCAAGCCCTCCTGGAATTGAGGAGCCACAGCGTCTCGCCAGACACAGAGAGGCCTCACCAACGGCACTCTCTCAAGCAGGGGAAAGGTCGCTCGTGGGGTCAGCAGGATTCAGGCCTGGCCTGGTGCTCTTCGGCATCTTTATTAATGATTTAGATGAGGAAGTACAAGGAAAGATAATCAGATTTGCAGACTGTAAAAAACTGGGTGGAATTAAGAACACGCTAGAAGACGGGATGAAGATCCAGGGTGGTCTTGAAAAACTTAAAGGCTGGGCTGAAAGCAACTGAATGCAGTTCAATAGAGACAAGTGCCAAGTCCTCCACCGAGGGAAAAGAAACCAAAGGCATCGATACAAGGCGGGGAATACATGGCTCAACAGAACTGAAAAAGAAAAAGATCTCGGAGGAATTGTGAACAAGTGGCATAAATATGAGCCAACAATGTGATGCAGCTGCAAAAAGGGCAAATGCTATTTTGGGATGCATTAACAGAAGCATTACTTCCAAACCATGAGAAGTAGCAGTTCCCCTCTACTCCTCACTAGTCAGACCTCACCTGGAATTCTGTGTCCAGTTCTGGGCACCAAGATTTGAGAAAGATGCAGGTAATTTAGAAAGGGTGCAGAGGAGGGCAACAAAAAGGATCCAGGGTTTGGAAACGCTGCCCTGTGAGGCGAGACTGAGGGAACTGGGCATGTCCAGCCTCGAGAAGGGAAGGCTGAGGTGGGACATGGTATCCCTCTAGAAGTCCCTCCAAGGCTGCCCCAAAGAGGAAGGTCAGGATCTCTGCTTGCTGATGCCGGAGTGCAGGGCACGGAATAACCAGTTCAGGCTGTGGCAACCCAGACTCAGGCTGGGCATCAGGAAGAGCGGCTGTGGGCTCTCCCGCATGAGAGACATGCAAGGCGACCCTGGATAGAAATGGGTGTCCTGCAACAACGGGACTGGGCTTGGCGCCCTTCTTGGCCCCTTCCTATTCTTGTGTTCTTTGATTCTCCCAGAGTCTTGCCCCAGGTGAGACACCAGGCGGGGTGGGGGTCTTCAGACCCCAGAGAAGCTCAGCGTTCCCCCTTAGGCCCACCAGCCTGCCTCCCGCCCTGGCAAAGTCAGCTGGAAGAGGAGGGTCCCCCGGACGACCACGCACGGGGACCTGCTCTGCTCTGCTCTTCCTGACCAGCTTTGCTGCCCCCGTTTGAGCCCGTTTCGAGTGGTTCGCATCCTTCTCAGAGTACGCGGCCCAGAACTGGCCACGAGGCGCCAAAAATGCCTCTCCAAAACTGACGGAGGTGAGGTGAACCTGCATCAGCAGGGATGCCAGGGGGTGTTTGAATTCCTCGCTGTTGCCAGTTGACTCCGAGAGCGTCGCATCTTAGAAATCTCCTGTACTCGCAGGATCAGGACCATCTCAGCTGCGCAGCACAACTCACTCCGGTGGCCACGTCTCCAGTTCAAGGATCGCCAGCGGCAGGACGACGGGGGACATGAGGAACCTCTCGGAGTGGGTGCTTATGCAGGGATCCAGCGGCTTCCTCGGGCGGGACTGCATCAGTGGCCGGTGGCGGTGCTGGTTCTGCCACTCCAGGATCAGCAGGAGGCTGCCTCCGGTCGCCGGTTGCTGGGGAGCTCGCGCAGGAGGGGCTCTCACACCCCAGCGGCTTGTGGACTTTCCCCCGGGCCTCTGCTGCCCCAGTGGCAGCGAGAAGCCACGCAGGCCTTTGGGCTGGCACAGCACGGCCCTCGTAGACCCGGAGAAGAGCAGAGCAGAGCGGGGAGGGGCCAGCAGGCCAGCAGGCCCACCCCCTGCTAGTGCAGGACACCAGGCTCCCCCGTCCCACTCGGGGGGCTGCCCACATGCTTTTTAAACGTCTCCGGTGTGGGAGAGCCCCCACCCCTCCAGGTAAGAGGCTCCTCTGTCGTGCTGCTCTGACAGTGAGGGACGTCTTCCTGGCGTCTCGTCTAAATCTGGCTCCTTTGAACTCAAGTCCATTGTTCCGTGTGCTGCACTCTGGCGTGACGAGAGGAGGCCTTGCCCTTCCCTCTGCGGCCGCCCTTCCGGCCTTGTGGTGCTGTCCTATCGTCCCTCGGTCTTCTCTTCCTGAGGCCGAACATGCCCAGTCCTCTCGGTCGGTCGCTCCTCCTGGCTCTGCCTCCAGGCCCGGAATCCTCCTCTCTGCCCTTTCTGGTTTTCTGCATCATTTCGCACTTGGGTGCCCAGAACGGCACACGGGACTCCGGGTGAGGCCCGACCAGGGGGACTCGTTTGGAGGCGACGCTTCTGTTAATGCATCCCGAAAGAGCACGTGCCCTTTTGGCAGCCGCATCGCATCGCCGGCTCGTCTTCCGCTTGTGACCTGCGGCCGCCCCAAGGTCCTTCTCGGGGGCAGCACTGCTGAGCCAGGTGTCCGTCTTGGAGTGGTGCATCTGCTTCCTCGTTGCTCAGTGGGGGACTTGGCGTTTGCCCCCAAATTCCATTCTTCTGCTCCCTGCCCAGCATCCTAACCCATCACGATCACCCTGCATCTTTACTGTGTCTTCCAGGGTGTTCGCTGGTCTGCCCAGCACTGTGTCATCTGCCAGTTTAATTATCTTTCCTTGTACTTCCTCATCTACGTCATTAAGAAGAATGCTGGTCCCAGGACGGATCCCTGCGGCCCCCCCTTGCCGCCTCTCCGCGGTTTGAGACCACGCTCTTGGCCAGCACTGGCGGAGTCCACCTTTGCAGCCAGACATGGATCCTTCTGATGGTTGCTCATTTGGCAGCCGGGTCCCATGGGGCACGGTGTCGAAGGCTTTGCTAACGTCTAGGCAGACTATGTCCACATCGTTCCCACAGTCCATTTGGGAGGCTACCTAGTCAAAAGATGAAATTGGACTAGTCTGGCAGGAACTGTTCTGAAGAAATCCATGCTGGCTTCTAGTCATCACGGCATTGTCTCTTTCTATTCTTGCGGGGCCTGTGCCAGCTCTGACCTGGCACAGCCCTTCCCTCCTTTGCAGCCTCCTCTCTCCTGTCCCCTGAGGTGTTCCTGTGCATCTGTGATTTCATTCGAGATAATCATTAACTGTCCTTCTCTCTCTCTCTCCCCCTCTCTCTCCCTCTCTCTTTCTCTCTCACACACACACATTTTCTTGTTGTCAACCTTTATAGGAGGAGGAGCAAAAGCATGCAGTAAGTCGATATCCTCTCACGATTTCCTTTTACCTTATTCCTGCATGAAAAGATTTGGCATTGCGTATTCCCCATCCTTACGGGACTGGATGCAAGTTAGGCGACCGACCATGGCAGAGCCGCCCTCTGGCTGCTGGAGGTCTGGCTGCTGGGGGCCTCCAGGGTGCTCGGCCGGCCGGTCTGCTCGCTTCCTTGAGTGAAGGCCACACAGCAGCCCACGGGCGGCTGGAGGAAAGGTGCATGGAGGGCAAGGCCGGGGAGCGCAGGTGTGCCGGCCGTCCCGTCGCCCCTTCCGCCGGGGCCTCGGACCGCCCCCTTCCCTGTGCAGGGTGCTCTTGCGTCTGGCTGTGCATGCATGCATGCGCCCCTGCATGGACCCGATGGGCCTTCTCACTTGGGCGGCCCCCCGTCCCACTGGCTGGCCAAGGTCTTCCTCCGAGGAGCCTGCCCCCTCCCTGCCCGGCCCGTCATTCCCACCCGCAGTAGCGCCGAATGCCCTCCGGAGGGAGCCTTCCTCCTGTGAGCAGGGAGCGCTGGTGCTGGGCTGGCCGGGCCTCGGTTTGCGCTGCGGCTGGAGGTCCCGAGAGCTGGATTCGAGAAAGAGGAGCGGGAAAAGGAGGCACGCTCCTGCTGTGCCTGACCGGCTCTTGTCCCGGCAGCTCAGTCGCTGGTGCCCAGGTTGGCCGCTCAGCGGAGGCAAAAGCGCCCGTCACCCTGCTAGGGAGCAACGCGTGCGTCTCCTGGCGCGGCCAGTGCTGCTCGCTCGCTCGCTTGCTCCCGGAAGCCCACGTCAGAAGAGCAAGCCGGAGTGGCAGCTGCAGCGTGCTCGCTCTGCCGCGGGAGCCCATGCGCGGGAGGCCTGCACCACGTGGGCGCTTGTGTGTGACTGGCCCACCGGGCCCGGCCCGGGGCTCCAGCGTGTCAGGCTCCGGACCGCGTCCTTGTGCAGGCTCTTGCGTTGTCAGCGGGGTGCACGGCAGCCTGACTGCGGAGTCCAGCGCGACGGAGACAGCGTCCCGGCCATTGCAGGGTGGCCGCCTGGCATTTCCACACCCTTCAGGTGTTGCGGTCCTGATCCGTATAAGGCAGGTGTCCAAGTGCCCCTCCTGCTCTTCAAGCCGCACCAGTCAAAACTCCCCCAGCAGGACTGTACCACGGGGTGCCTCACCAGTCTCACCTGCTGGAGCGGTAGGGGCCGAGTCCCGGCAGATGCAAGGAAGCGCCTCACAAACTTGTCACGGGGCATCGGGTAGCTCCACCGCCTCCAGCATGTCATTGCTCTGAAAAGCTCTGTGACGTGGTGCAGCCGGGAGGTGGGGAAGGACACCTGCTCGGCTCACCTGGCGCAAGCCGCCTGCCGCATCACTCTCGGCTCCGGGCGGGCCGTGCGCCGCAGCAGCTTGCCTGCCTGCCGGCAGACCGCTCAGCTCCCGAGTCCGCGCCTGGCAAGAGTCTGGAAGCGCCAGCAGGGGCCTGGCGAAGGCCCTCCACTGGCCGGGGGAGGGCAGGCTCCCTCGTGAATCAAGTTGGAGGGCCGCGTGCTCCCCAGGCGGGGCTTAGGCAGCCGCCTCGCACGGACAGGCGCTTTTCAGGGCTTCGCGTTGCTGACCCCCCAGTGGCTCCTGCGTGGGCCACCTCCTGCTACGCCTGAGGAAGCTGGCCGTGCTCTTGGGACTATTTAATAGCTAGCCACTGTTCTGGGGCTGCAGCCTCGCAAAACTCATTCGGCACGCGAAGGGCGGCCGAACCGTTCTGCCTTCCGGGTTGACCTGGCCACGCAGAGAGGGACGCTCGCCGCTGGCACCGCCCCGTGGCGCCCATGCTCGCCTGCTCCATGGCGCCTTGTCGCCGCCGCCTCTTTCCCACAGAGCAAGAGAAGGGATGGAATTTGTGGCCCTCGTCTTGGCAGACAGCCTGAATTAGTCAGGGGTGTCGGTACTTGCGACGCTCCCGGATGAATGGAGGCCCGGTCGAAAGGGGGTTGAGAGGACCTTTGCCGGAGCAGGCGGATTCCTGTGCAGAACCTGCTTGGAGCTGGTGCACCTGTAGGAAGGGGGGGCGCGGGGAGCCTCCACTCCTCTGAACGGGGGCCGACTGGCTGGGTTGGCTCCGTTCCCAAGGCTTGGAGGAGGGGGGCTCAGCGGAGGGGCGAGTGGGCCACCTTGCTGCCACTGTTGCCGAAAGTGGCTTGTGAGCCCACCAGGGGCTCCGTCGCTGCCCGGCCACCGCAGCAGGAAAGACGAGCAAGCACGTCGGAGCCGGCGCTGCTGGGGACGGAGGCCAGTGGCCCAGCCGCTGAATGGAGCGGCGCCCAGCGGCTCTGGGGGGAAATTGTGGGGGACGCGGGGTCACTGCGCTGCCGCTCAGGCCCTGCTGGGAGATCTGGGAGGCGTATCTGGGAGGCAGTTTTCTTAAATTGTTGAATTTAGTAATCTGAAATGCAGTGCTGGAATACATCAGTGCAAATGCAAAAACAAGCCAATAGTGAAAGAAGACACGGAAGAAAAAGGACGAGGAAAACTGTGAGACGTCTAGTGGAGCCCCGTACCGGGCCCTTGGCTGCATCGTAGTTGATTATTCAATGCCGCCGCCTCCTCCACTTCCTCTTCTGGATTTCCCCTCCTCCAGGATTACCTCTTCCATCCAGAATTGCATAAAATTGTCCGAAGGTTCGCTACCCTTCCCTTTCATTAATGCGTATTCAGTAAGGCGGTTGGAGAAAGTTGACTCAGACTGAGCGACAGCGGCACCGCTTGGCCAGGAGAGCAGGAAAGGCGGGCCGTCCCGGCGGACTCCCTGGCCCAGCGGCCTCTGCCCACAGGTCAGCGCTGGCCGGCCCGGGGAGCTCGCAGTGCTTCCTGAGGCCTGGCAGCGCCGGGTGCCAGGTCAGGCTGCCCTCTGAGCCCCGTGCCTGTCGCTGTGTGCAGGGACAGAGAGTTGCCCGCGCGGGACAGACGGGGCCTTGGCGGGGGTGGCGCACGCATCCTGCGGCACAGCCACCTCCCCCCCATTCTGCGTGCGCACGCCACGGGCGTCGGGCCGGTGCGCCCATTTCCAGCATGGTGACACAGCAGGGCTGCCCCACCGAGTGTTGCCAGGGAGTGCCTGGCAGGCGACGCTGTGCCAGGAAGGGCATGGCAACACGGGAGGGGGCGCCTCTGGTTGCGACTGGGGAGGCCGCTCCACTGCTCGAGGTGGGACTCCGCACATGCCCAGAGCCCGGGCCGCCGCCAGTTGGAGGCTGCTGCCCAGGGCCAGGCCCCCTGTGGCGCCGCGCGGCCCCCCATGCCCCGCCAGGAGCTCTCCGCCATGGCCCGTGGCTTGCGGGGTGCGCCCTGCTCCGGTTGCCCCTCTCTGCTTGGCACTGGAGTCGGCTGGCAGCTTGGAGCCAGGCAGAGCGGGAAGCGGCCAGGGTGCGAAGACCCTCCCGGCCGGCCCTTTAGCCCCGGAGGGCTGGGTGCCGGCTGGGCGTGTGAGCGTGGGCGGAGCGCCTGCCTGGCTCCCCCGGTGCTGCGCTTCCGGCCAGCGCTGCGCAGCACCCCTGCGGGGGGCCGGGTGCCCCCGGACTCCGCAGGAGGGTGGACGGGCCCTTCCCGGCGCGGGTCCCCGCCGTGCAGGAGTTAATCGCTGAGCGGCCGTGCGCGCTGGCCACGAGCCCCACTGCTCTGCGGGGCGGAGGGCCTGCGCACCAGAGCGTGCGCGCCGGCCTGGCACGTAGCGTGCGGCCCTGGGGAGGGGGGGAGGGAGGGGAGGGGGCCGAGCGGGGGCCGGAGGCACATTTCCGCGTGTCGGGAGCCAAGCGGGCTGCTTTGAATTTGTGCGGGGGCTCGCTCGCCCCCTCCCGGGCATGTGCGTGCAGGCCCCGCCGCTCCGTCCTTGGCGTGCTCCGCCATCTTAGCTGCTCCTGGCCGCCTCGCTCGCCGGGGAGGCTGCGGCCGCGCCAGCGGTGCCGGTGCGCCCGACCGAATCGCGCCCGACCGAGCGATTAGGTGCGGCCCTCTGCCTCGCAGCCGCCCGGCTCCCCTCCCGCGTTTGATTGGGCCGCCGAGCGTTTTGGGAGCCAGCGGAGGCCCGACATAGCACATGCGAGCGGGATGGGCCGCCCGCGCCTCTCCCGCGCGCTTCTGCCCCGGCGCCAGGCGCTCGCCTGCGGCCCCTCCTGGGCGCGCGCACCTTTCCCCGCCGCCGGGCCAGGAGGGCGGCGGCGGCGGCGCCGGTGTCGTGCGGCGGGCGCGGCGCGGGAGCGGGGAGGGGTCCGCGCAGCCATCTGCTACCTGGCCGCCTTCCGCGCGACGACGTGCATGAAGAGCCCCTTTCATTCCGTTGCCATGAAAACGGTCCTGCCTGGATCCGGGTCCAGCGGGGGAGGGGCGCTCCAGCCTCGGAAAAGGTGGCGAGGAGGCCGCCTGCCCGCCCGCCCGCGCGGCTGCTTCCCCCCTGCCCCGGACGGCGGCGGCCGAGAGGGCTGGCGCGGAGGGGCCGCTGCGCGAGCGGAGAGGCTGCTGCCGGCCCGTGGCTGCGCGCCGGGGGCGGGGGGCTCCCTCCCAGCCGGGCGTGTGCCGCTCGCTCGGTGCGGGGCCCTCTCCGCCTCGGGCTGCGCTCTGCGGGAGCCCAGAAGGCGGCCTCTCCCGTCCCTTTTCCTGGCCGCAATGCTCGGCTGAGGCCTGGGCAAGCACGTGGAGGGCAGCCCCGCAGAAGCGCGCCCGTGTGCCAGGGAGGGCTGCCCCGCTGAGCGCAGAGGGGGAAGCCGCCCCGGGCAGCCGGCCGGCCCTGAGCTGGGCTGAGGGAACGGAGGCTGGCGCAGTGGGGAGGCCGGGGGCCCTTCCAAAGTGTTTCTCGCTCGCCACGTGGCAACGAGGTGCAATGTCCCTTTGTCTCAGATGCGCTTTCCCGTGAATTCTGCCCGCAGCTATTACTCACCGGCGGGGATTTCCCAAGCCAGGCGTCAAACTGCTCTGAGCTGACCGTGTGCTCCAGCGCTCTGGTCCCCGAGTGGCCCC